TACACTGGCTCACCGGGGATGATGTCCAGTGATGACGTCGTCGGCAGAGACACACACACACACACACGCACGCACGCACGCACGCACGCACGCACGCACGCACACACACACACACACACACACACACATACGTATATATATATATATATACGCAAAAAATACACAGACAGTTACCCGCGCACGTACCAGAACCATGTGGTATCCACGATTATTCTACTCCGCGTAAGAATCCGGACGCGCAATGCTAGCGCGTTCTTCTCTCAGTTTCCCAACCTCTACTACAACAATTTCAATACTCTAACCCTCCTCCGTACTTTCTCGTTATCCTTCTCCACGATTCCTCGCTTCACTCCTCCCCTCCCCTTCTCACATTTCACACTCAGCCTCTTCCACTACTACATAAGTCCGCTCTTCTCTTCTTTCTATCTTCCCATCTTCCCCCTCTTCCCTTTCCCCACTCCCGCTGCATTACTTTGGATCTCGTCTAAAGAATTACCGACAAAAATATTTGCCGGCACAAAAAATACGAGGTAGCGCATTAAGGATGCGGTTGCCGTAGTGACAGTACTGCCACGCACACTGTACATAAAGTCTGCTTGAGACAACGAGGGGGCAGCGAGTGATGTATGGCCTAGCACGGCGCGATCGAGTGTACACGACACCAGAAGCCCGATCGGTTAATACAGGAATCTAGAAGTTGCGCCTCACTTATGCCAAGAATAACAAACAGCGGCTTTGTAACGTATTTATTCATAAGTTTGTTTGTGAATTTGGTTTCACGCTTCAGGTGCAGCGCGACGCGAGCTGAAACAGTTGAACGTGTCTAGTCGGTTGATTTGATGATCGATAAAAATTGAATAAACTCGACGTGTTATTTCAAAGATCTGCATGTTTGAAAATAAATCTAGAAGCGAACGGAATACGAACTTGTTTATTGTGACGCTCTTGTCAAATCTAGCGTGTATATTTTCATAGTAAACGTCGCTTGTTGTTTTAAATATATAACGACTATATTTTTAGCGGCCCTTTGAAAATTCATCCGCCACAGGCGTTCACTTCTTGTCATATTTTATTGTACGTGAACTCAAATGAAAACTCAGCGAGAACAGGAAAAACGAGACCGGCCTGGCTCCACCCGTGTTCATCTTTGTATCCAAATAATTAATCATGATCCTGTACTCTAAACAAAAAACAACATTACGAACGTTTTTCCATGGTAACACATCCGAATTGTCACAGGCCATAGCACAGGCTTGGTCCTAGTGGCTCCCGTGTATGATATCTCTCTCTCTCTCTCTCTCTCTCTCTCTCTCTCTCTCTCTCTCTCTTTCTCTCTCTCTTTCGCTCTCTCTCA